TTAAATTCGATTTTTTATCCAACTAGAAACATCGTTTTAGAACATTGAATCGTATATGAACAAGTTTCTTGTCCAGCTGCTGGTTTAGCAATAAGGTCAAAAATAGAAGAAGAAAAGAAGAAACCTTGTGCTTTGAGTCCCGTTTTGTTTTTCAACGTTTTAGAAATCAAATTAGTGAAAACATCCAAAATGCTCTTTTATTGTTCTTCTTGACGCTTTCTTGGGTCATTTACTCTCAAGTGCTTTTATACTACTATCGTTTTGATTTCCCACAAGAGATCGATCCAATTGGATGACACAAAATGATTTAACCAACGATGGACCAATCAATCACGGTCTTTCTTATATATTGATATACTTATACATCAATTTTATAGGGCATTAAGTCTTTGAATATTAAGACTTTTATATATAGTTATAAGATAAATATAGAAATTTGAAGAGTGGATAAGTCCAAAGAGGTCTATATATATGACTTGTAGAGGACAATGAGGACAAATAAATCAACGACGGAAGAAGAAGGTAACATATAGATGATAACACCTTATCAATATATAATTTTGACTAACTTAGACCTCGTGATTGAAACTGAATGTGATATGTTTCTTGGTTTTTGCCAAGCATATTCGTTCTGCATAAAATTGTATTTTTTTCCACTTTAATTTTACTCTAGACATATGGTATCTTTTTATATTTTCTGTTCACATGTTGTAGCACAATTAAAGAAAGGGGAATTTACTAAATTGACTCAGTTTGAATTAGCGTTTTGCGAAATAACCTTTGCCTTATTTTTACCAACTTTTTCCTAAATTACCCTTTGATTAATTCTAAAAATTACAAATAAATGGTTTTTATAATTTTATAAAATTAAGAAAATACAAAAGAACAATACACAAGACATATAGATTCATGTACAATTTTTTTTTTTAAACTATGACAGAAAATTATTTATTTTTGCTTCTACCATGGTCGAATCTACTAGTAGATTAGGTGTTCTACGAATTTGAATAAATCTACGAGTGGTAGAATGAAATATTCTACTAATTGCTCAATTTCTACATATCGCAGATTGCAAAATCTACCGTTTGCTTCAGTACTACC